CCAGTACTTGATGTCAAATACATAAAATTGCTGTCAATTTCAATATCAAGAAGATTTTCCTCTGTTTTCTTGGAAGAATTTTAAAGTTTTGACTTTTAGTTTCAGGTCTTTTATCCACATTGAGATCATTTTATGTCCAGTGTTGGGGAGGGTTCACCTTCTTTTGCATGAAGATACCCAGACTTTTTGGCACTGCTGTCCAGAGACCTGTCCATCCCCCATTACACGGTCTTGGCACCCTTGTCAGAAGGATGACCTTACCTGGGACGGTTTATTTCTGGACTCTGTTCCAGTAGCCAATATATCTGTCCTTATGTGAGCACTGCCCTGCGGCTCTGTAGCAAGTTTTGAAATCAGGGAATATGAGACCCCAACCTTCATTTTAAAGCTTATTTTGACTATCCAAGCCCTCTTATAATTCCCTATGAATATGAAGATCAGCTTTTCCATTTCTGTGTAAAAGGTTGTTGAAATTTTGACAAGGATTGCACTGAGTTTGTAAGTAGTTTTGGATTATGCATGTAATCTCTGAAAAACAGAGAATGATATCTATTATTGAAGGATGCACACCTGTGTGGAAGAATACGGACACACCAGAGTTGAGATGGGTGGTTTCCTCTAGGGATGAAAGGGTTACATTTAGGAAGGGAAAAGAAACTGAGTAGGGATACACATGGCAATTCAATTATACCTGTAGTGTTTTAGGTCTTAAAAAAAAAATGGAAGCAGACTTTGTTAAAATTATCACCACTGAGCAGGTGGTAAATGGATGCGTGCTATTTTGCTCTCGACACTTTGCTGTAGTTTTGAAATTTCTCATTATAGAAAAGAGAGACAAAATGAGTGTCTTTGACAAGCTGGAAGAGCAGGCTTAGTGGGTGGGGAGGAGCTGGTCGGGTGGGCGGCAGCGATCAGGTGAAGCTGGAGTCCAGGTGGTCCAGTATGACTGAGGCCCACCGGATGGAGGTTGAGGAAGCCTCCTCTGAGAGGCTGTCCTCTGTCCCATTGCACCCCATTCAGGGCTTTCCTGTTTTCTCATCTCTCTGCCCTGTCCATCAGGAGTCTATTCATGGAGCTGAATTTAAATCCAGTGGGACTCACCTGGGGTCATCTATCATCTCTTGGTTTGTGTCATGTTAAAGCCCAGGTTTGTCCCAGGTTAAAGCATGAAGAGGATCAGCATCTTGCCTAAGTGCTCACTGGACATGTGAACAGAATTCTTTCCACAGGGCCAAATAGAGTCTCAAGATGGGCAAGGATCACAGGAGTAACACGGAGTGGTGTTTGCTCAGAATTCTGGCAGCAGAGAGCAGGCTGATGCATGAGAAGAAAGGTGGTTAGCACAGGAATAGCCAGGAGTTTCTGCAATTCCAGGCTTGGGTTATATGTTGTGAAGGAAGCTTCTGGCTGGAAGGTAAGAGGGGTGAGTGGGGGAGAAAGGTTCTTAGGTGCACTGGAACAGCCCCTCGGCACTCTGCCATGTATAAAACGCACATAAATCACTAACTTATTAACCACATTCAAAATCATTAGGAAAAGAGCGACTCCACATACATGAACATGGTACACTGAATAATGACCCCCAAAGACACCCACAATCTAATCTCCAGAACCCATGAATATGTTAGTTACATGGCAAAAGGGCTTTGCACATGAGGAAAACATTCCGGATTATCTAGCTGGGTCCTTGTGAGAGAGACCCAGCAATCAGAGTGAGATGGGAGAAAAGGCCACTGCCAAAGGAAGCAGGCAAAGACAAAGACATGGATTCTCTCCTAAAGCCTACTGTTGCGTCAGCAGCACTGCAGTGATAAAGAACAGAAATGGGAGTCTTGGAGCATGCTTGAGGATGCAGGATGCTGCTGGAAGCAGGATTGTCTCCCAAGATCCTGGCCTTTTTATTGACAGAGAAGGGTGGGTCAAACTGAACACTGGATTTTGGGCTTTAGGGAGGGTGAATCCAAATAATATACGCCCCACTTCCACCTACGGCTTCAATCTTATTAACAAGGTGCTCCATTGATCAGTCCCTGGGGTGGAAAGCACATCAGTCACTGACCCCCCAGGCATTCTCAGTCATACCTCAGGATATAAACCTATTTTCCCAGGGCGATCAAGGGTCCTGCTCTTGTCCAACTTGAAAGGAGCCTTGTACGCTACACCCACAGCCCACAGAGGAAGCATGGTCCCTGCAACACCTTGATTTTAGTCCACTGGACTTCTGACCCATTTTTCACTTCTGACCTCCAGAACTGTAAGATAATACATTTGTCACTTTAAAGCATTATACTTGTGATTGTTTTTTTATGACAGCAATAGGAAACTGATACCATAAATTTTCTAGAGTCTGGTATACAGTCAATATAAAAACTGGCTGTAGTATTTCCAGGCCCACGTTTTCTTCCAGAATTTTTACACTCTCCTATTGAGAGGTGGGGTCTGTTCTCCTTCCCTTTACCTTGGGTGGATCTTTGTGACTGCTTTGTGGACAGAATTGGTATGACTTCCAATGCTAGTGACACAGTTTCTGCTCTAGCTCATTCTTCCTCTTGGACTTGAACTTGGAAGCCCTAAGCCAATACATGAGAAATTCATCTCCCCTGAAGTTGTGTGCTGGATAGAGCACACAGAAGTGGAGAGAAGCTCAAGGAACCCCAATGGTCCAGTTCCCACACTTATGAGTATCCCCAGTCCAGAACTCAGTAAGAGAGTGTATCTTCATCTCCAGGCTTCAAGCTGCCCCTTTTGTTGCTGAATGAAGGACAGGCTGTCCACACCAAGCCATGTCCATATCGCAGGTTGATGGAGAACACTAGCGTTGTAGTTTGAAACCACTAAACTTTGGAGGGGTTTGTTACACAGTGTTCAACAGCTAGAACAAGTGTCAACAGCCTATTTACATCACCAAGGTGAGGCTCAGGGAACAAATTCCACCCAATAAAGACTAAGAGCTTTCAGCCAATTCTTCATTGCTTCATTCTTAACTATAAACAGATAAACCAAGATTACAGACATCTGAGAAAAACACCAACATTCAGGAAAGAGATCAAAGAAAAGATAGAAAACAACCAAAAAAAAAAAAAAACAAACAAACAACACAGAGACTGTGTAGAAGGATGAACGCTTTAAAAGAAACAAACCAAAAATTCTTCCAAAATTCTACCATTAATATTTTTAATAATAATAGAAGATATTTCATCCATAGTCTAAGAAAGGTGCGCTAGAAAGGGAACACTCAGTGAAAAAAAGGAGAATGCAGGATAAAAAAGAAAAGGTTATATTAAAAAATTAGACGGCAAAGAAGTTGCCCAGAAAACAAGACTAAGGACACATAGAAATGGAAAATGGAGGGAAAGAGGGGCATGAATAAGAAAATAAGGACTAGTCAAGGGCACCTAATTATGAATAAAGTGAACTTCAGAAATAGAGAACAGAGAAAATAGAAAAGGAAATTATTAATGAAATAATTCAAGAAAATTCACCAGAATTGGAAAGAAATGAATTTCCAGACAGAAATAGCACACCAGAGACTCAGCACCATGGAAAATATAGAGCCCCAAAGGCAGATTATTTTGCAATTTCAGAACACATGGGGGTAAAAGAGAAGGTGCCACAACTCCTGGGGGGACAATAGAGCCCCACAAAGAGCTGAGAATCAGAGTTGTTTGGAACTTAACAAGAAACACTGGGTCATTTATTTATTCTTTGATCTCTTTCCTGAAATCTAGAACCTTATCCTTAAAGTGAAACATTCGAAACTGTGAAGGAAAAAAATTTCCAATGATATTTGTTACTATTCTATAAAAACACATTGGAAAGGGACAGGGGATCTAAGGGTTAGTTGGGGGCGGTGGGAGGAAAAGTTTTATGTGGATTTTTAACTGTGGGGAGAATTCTCTGCATTGTTAAAAATCAAAATTGAAAACAAATTATTTCAAAAAGCAGTGGTTTAAAATAATACATTACTATTTCTCAGTTTCTGAGGGTCAAGAAGTGAGGAGAAGCTTGGTTGGGTGGTTCTGGCTCAGGGTTCCTCATGAGCTTATGCCAGTGTGGAAGAGAGCTGTTGTCTTCTCCAGGCTCAGCTGGAGCTGAAGAATTTGCTTCCAAGCTTGCTCATGTGGTTGCTGTCAGGAGGCTGCATTTCCCTGCCACAAAGACTTCTCTGTGAGGCTGCTCATGGCTTGGCTTCCCCCAGAGTGAGTGATCCCCCAGATTGGGACATCCCAAGACAGTCTGTTATACTCACCTTGTGCAATCTGGTCTCTGGCTGGCACTAATGGACCACATTGTTATTTTCTTCCTCTTCCTCCTTGTTAAGTGATTTAGTGTCTGTTACCTTGATATTCATTGTTCTGTTGCTTTATAATAACATCTTGAGGATTTCTTTCATGTTACTCAGTGTTGATAAATTCTTTCAGTTTTTCCTTTTTTTTTTTTTTAAGATTTATTTATTCATGCATACAAGAACCCAGGTACAGGCCAGAGGCATGGGAGGGTGAGAGGATTCACCCGAGACAGAGTGGGGAACAGAACAGGCAGACTGATGAAATACACTGCAGAGGGGAGCAGCAGGCGAGGCAGGAGAGGTCTTCCATGCCATGTGGGACCCTCGCAGGCCTGTGGGGATCAAACTGGCGCTGCAGAGGCTGCAGACAGCTTCACAGTGCGGTGCTCAACCACCTGTGCCACCAGGGGAGGCCCCTAGTTTTTGCTTTTCTGTGGAGCTCCTTATTCTTCCTTCTCTGTTGATTGTTGATCTTGCTGGGTAAAGGATTCCAGGCTGGTTGTCTTTTCTTTAAGTACTTTAAATATCTCTTTCCAATCCCTTCCTGCTTGTAAAGTTTCTGCTGAAAAGTCTGTTGGTGGTCTGATTGGTGTTCCTTTATAGGTTACCCTTATTTTCCCTTGACATTTTTAATGTTCTGTCCTTGTCACTGATTTTCAACAGCCTTATTACTGTGTGTCTTGGTGGATGTTTCTCTGATTTTTTTTTTTTAACTTGTGTTAAGGATTGCTATCAAATGCTACTCAAAGGGCCTAGAGACCCTTGTGTTGTTGAAAGATTTGCCCCTCATGTAGCACTCTACCTATGCTTGTGAGTTCATTGGCCAACCAGTGGTCTCAACTCCAAGCTCTAACAATGAGCAGTCTCTGATATTAATTTGTTGGGGACTCTGTGGGCCTCATGGATCACAATTTTTGGTTCATTTCTGAAATCAAGATGATTATTTTCAGTGGTTATTTCTTTATTTTTTAATTTTTAAAAAAGATTTATTTATACAAGAGCTGAGGTACAGGCCAGATGTGCGGGAGGGTGAGAGGATCCACCAGAGACAGAGTGGGGAACAGAACAGGCAGACTGACTGAAATACACTGCTGAGGGGAGCAGCAGGCGAGACAGGAGAGGTCTGCCGTGCCATGTGGGATTCTCGCCAGCGGGTCGGGTTTGAACCGGCACTGCAGAGGCTGCAGACAGCTTCACAGCATTGCACTCAAGCGCCTGTGCCACTAGGGGAGGCCCGGTTATTTCTTTAAATAAGCCTTTTATAATTTGTCTCCTCTTTCTGGGATCCCCATAATACAAATATTATTTCTCTTTAAGTCATCCTAGAGGATTACATTTTCATTTTTTAAAATTCTTTTTTATCTATCTTGTTCTATTCCTATATTCTCCAAATTGTGTTTTTGAACTCTCCTTTCCATTGCTCCTGTTGGTCTACTATGAAGCCCCTCAATTGTATTTTTTATTGTATTTATTTATTTTTTAAGATTTTTTTTTATTTATTTATACAAGAACCGGGGTACAGGCCAGATGCACAGGAAGGTGACAGGATTCACCAGAGACAGAGCAGGGAGCAGAATAGAACAGGCAGACTGACGAAATACACTGCTGAGGGGAGCAGCGGGCGCGACAGGAGAGGTCTGCTGTGCCATGTGGGACCCTCGGCTGGCGGGCTGGGATTGAACCAGTGCTGCTAAGGCTGCGGATAGCTTCACAGCGCTGTGCTCAACCGCCTGCACCACCAGGGAGGCCCTCAATTGTATTTTTTAAAGTAGGCTTGGTGTTTCTTAGCTCCATTATTTCTAACTGTATCTACCTCATATTTCCCTTATCTTTATTCTGCCTCTTTTATACCCTCCATTGTTATTTTGTGTTCCATCAGCATCATCAGAACTATTGTTCTGAATTCCCTTTCCGTCATGCTCCACAATTCCACTAAATTGGGGCTCCTTTGGGGATATTTTTGCTCTGGCATTTGTGATATGTCCTTCTGTCACCTCATTTTCAATTTTTAAGTAGTTAATAGGGATGTATTTTCAGCTACTGTCTTTGCAACTGTTGAAGTAGTGGGGGGGGTGGTATTGGCAAAGTGTAGTAGGTATAAAAGAGGACCAGGGTCGTGAGCACCAGAGGATCCCTTCCAATGAGGGTATCAAGGAAGACCAGGGCTGAGAAAGGGCTTCAGAGGTCATGAAATCCTACATTCACCAAAGGGGTCTGGGTCTATCCCTCATCCAGGCAGCTTCACTCTGAACTCAGGAGTCTGAACTTCCTACCGTGCTGTGGGTACCAGGGTTGTGTGGTTAGAATCCACAGTGATCCCTCCTCTGTGCCAGCTCCTTGGTCTCAGTGTCTCCAGGCTGGGAGTTGTTCTTTTCTTCCTAAGCATCGATTCTTATCCTGACAGGTCCACCTGCACGGTTAGTAGGTGTTCAGGCTCTAGTGTGCTCAAGTGTTTCTTTGTGTGTGTGTGGTGGGAGTGGGGGATAAGTATTTTAGATATCTCAACCTGGGTTAGGGGGTGGCAGGTGTTTTGACATCTCAGCCTGGGCTTCAAGCCATAGCCTCTTCCACACAGAAGTCCAGGAGTTCTGACATGATTCAGGCTACAACTGTTCTGTGTTAGGAGCCTCAGACTCAAGCTAGAGGTCCCTGCTCTGTGTCTTCACCTTTGAGGCTTTCCAGAATGTACCTTCCAACTTGGGCACCTGTTCGTGCACCCACCCCCATCCAGGTCAGTGTTATGTCTTAGGGGCCCCAATGTCAGCATGAGTCCAAATCAGTAGCTCTAGGGGACTCTGCAGCAGCCACGCCTCCCTTTTTATTTTTTTTTAAAGATTTATTTTTATTTATTCATGCATACAAGAACTGGGGTATAGGCCTGAGGTGTCGAGGGGTGAGAGGATTCACCAGAGACAGAGTGGGGAACAGAATAGGCAGATCTACTTAAATACACTGCTGAGGGGTCTGCTGCGCCATGTAGATCAGCTCCCTGGTGGAGGGGGGGCAGCGAAAAGGGGGAGAGGGAGGGATCAAATTCATGCTTCAGTGGCTGGTGATAGCTTCATAGTGCTGAAATTTTAACCCCTGCGCCACCAGGGAGGCCACACTCCTCCCTCTTGTGGGCCATACAGCCCTGTTATCGCTCTAAACAAAGTTCATTTCAAGTTTTTCCTACACTTTCCACTGCACCAATGGTCCTACTGTGTGTGGTGGTCTGCAGTTTTCCCCTCATTGTTTTATAGCAGTTTTGTTGTGCACAGCCAGAGGGCACAGCGCAGTCCAAGTACCATCTTCTGCAAATGGAGACCCTGAAAATCTGAAAAGGGCCAAAATACATGCATGAATAGTTGCTCAAGTTTTGACCACGAACTTAGCAGCACTCCATTTCTGCACCCACTTTCCTGAGTGTACTTGATATAATAGAAGCTGCCTGATGCTGGATAGACCCAGACCCCTTTGGTGAATGTGGGATTTCATGATCTCCAAAGCCCTTTCTCAGCCCTGGTCTTCCTTGATACCCTCACCGTGAGGCTGAAGCAGCCATTTACTGCAGAGGTGGGACTGCAGCATCTTGCTCACAGACCCCTCCACTGCTGGGCTCTCGCTCCCTGAACCAGTCCTAGGCAGGTATATTCCTTCAAAGGGAATATTTGGGTCTTGAGGTATCACCCTGCTAAATTTAAGCACCTGGAGATAGCGCCTCTGCCCCCTTCCAACACTGCTTCTACTCAGAAACCACCCGGTCTGACCATTCCCAGCGAAGAATTTATTTCCCCTGAGTTCCTTTCTCAGTGTAATTTCTTTCAAATGTGTGAAGTGGGCAAAAAAAAAAAAAAAAAAAAAAAAGTGAGCATATAAGAGATGCAACTATTTTTGTTAACAGTTTGACTTGATTTCTCTTTAGCTCTGATTGTTCTATGAGGACATTTTATTTCAGTTGCTCCAGGGGCACCAATTCAGGGCAGGATTTCTTTCACAGTCTCCTAAGACTGCAGTGGACTGGACCACCTGGTCCTGCTTTGTCACCTTTCCATGTGGACTTCTGTTGTGCTGTCATCCTCTTTGCTCTGACCCGGGCTTGGGACCACTCCAGTTCTACCAGTAGGTCAGAGCGACTCCATTCTTGTCCTGCTACAGCCTGTGACATGCCAGAATGCTTGGGGATTTGGGAAGGCTCCTCACTCTCCCTGTGTTGGCCTCCCATAGCCATGACATCTATGCAGCCCCTGTGTTCTTCTGAGTCCAGCCTTCACTCAGGAAGTGAAGTGTGGGGAGCAAATGAACTGGGAAATATGTGATCAGACTTGTCTCCAGGCTAAGATGGGGGGATAGGACTAAGAAATTACACAATACTTGACTTCCTCATTATCTGGGGATTCTGATGGGAAAGATGCATGGATGATCGATTACAGAGATATCCCCATAGTACATCTGTTCCTTCCTTCCTTCCATATTTATGATGTACCTCCCAGCTGGAAATACCAAAATGAAATCTGAACTGCCTGTGAGGGCTCAAGGGAGAAGGATATTATAAGACATATCATTCTAAAGTCAAGATGAGGGTAGCATGACCGTAAGAAGACATTTATTTATTTATTTATTTATTTATTTATTTATTTATTTATTTATGCATACAAGAGCTGGGATGTAGGCCAGAGGTACGGAGGTGGGGGTGCAGTTAGAGGATTCACCAGAGACAGAGTGGGGAGCAGAACAGGTGAATTGACTGAAATACACTGCTGAGGGGAGCAGCGCGTGAGGCAGGAGAGGTCTGCTGCGCCATGTGGGTCACCTCCCTGGCTGCTGATAGCTTCATAGTGCTGAGACTTAACCCCTTGCGCCACCAGGGAGGCCCAAACGTAAGAAGATAAAAGGTTAAAATCTCTAACATGAAAATTCAAACAGACTACTAATTTCTTATCACTGCTCTAACAATTAATCTCTTAGAACACTAGATCTAGAGGCCAGAAGTCCAAAATAGGTCACAATGGGCAAAAATAAAAGTGTTGGCAGGTGGAAGCAGGTTTGTGTTCTTCCCGGATGTCCTAGGGACAATCTCTTTCCTTGCTTGTCTCAGATTCCAGAGGCTGCCTATATTCCTTGAATCTAGGGCCCTTGCTCCATTTTAAAGCTACCACTGTCAGGCCAAATGCTTGTCATGTTGCCATCTCTCTGGATCTCTCTCTCTGCCTCTCTTTCCCACTTAGAAGGACCCCCGTGATATCACTGGACCCACGTGGATAATGAGGGATGATTGGCTGATTAGCAACCTTACTTTCATCTGCATCTGTAATTCCCCTTTGCCATGTAGCCTAACACATTCAAAGGTTCTGGGAATTACTAGACAATTGGTGCAGGGGAGGGGAGCATTATTCTGCCAGCCATGAATACCAGGAGAAATATGAACAAAGATTGTGAATAAGTAATTCACAGGAAAAGTGCAAATGGCTCATAAATCTATGAGCACCTTTTCAGCCAGGGTAATGACAGCTCGAACGTCCGCCAGAGTCTATGAGAGCCCTCCTGATGGCAACTACTGAAAAGGTTAACTGTGCAGGATTGAATAGGGTGCTCTCACCCCTGCTTGGGGAAGGGCAACAGCTGCACATTTGGGGGGGAAGTAATCTGATGGTTTATCAAAATTAAGACTCAGCCATTGCACTGCGAGGACGCTATCCTCTTCAGAACTAGCACACTGTTCCTGTTCTCAAAAAAGGCACTGAAATGAGGTTGTGGCATGGATAGAGGAGAAGGATCCGGCTCTTTAAGCGCTGACTTTCTGTGCAAAAGACAGAGCACAAAGAAAGACAAACACCAAAAACGTACTGGGTTGGGGATGTAGGTTTCTGTGTGTGTTTTCTTTT